CTAAGGTCTGTGTAGACTGTCTGGCATGAGGTAGCATACCCTTAATATACATACACCCTAAGGTCTGTCTAGACTGTCTGACATGAGGTAGCACACCCTTAAAATACATACACCCTAAGGTCTGTGTAGACTGTCTGACATGAGGTAGCACACCCTTAATATACATACACCCTAAGGTCTGTGTAGAATGTCTGGCATGAGGTAGCATACCCTTAATATACATACACCCTAAGGTCTGTGTAGACTGTCTGACATGAGGTAGCACACCCTTAAAATACATACACCCTAAGGTCTGTGTAGAATGTCTGACATGAGGTAGCACACCCTTAATATACATACACCCTAAGGTCTGTGTAGACTGTCTGACATGAGGTAGCACACCCTTAATATACATACACCCTGAGGTCTGTGTAGACTGTCGGGCATGAGGTAGCACACCCTTAATATACATACAACCTGAGGTCTGTGTGTGCCTGGCATGAGGTAGCACACCCCTTATATACATACACCCTAAGGTCTGTGTAGACTGTCTGACATGAGGAAGCACACCCTTAATATACATACACCCTAAGGTCTGTGTAGACTGTCTAGCATGAGGTAGCACACCCTTAATATACATACACCCTAAGGTCTGTGTAGACTGTCTGACATGAGGTAGCACACCCTTAATATACATACAGCCTAAGGTCTCCGTAGACTCTCTGGTATGAGCTAGCACACCCTTAATATAGATACACCCTAAGGTCTGTGAAGACTGTCTGACATGAGGTGGGACACCCTGAATATACATACACCCTAAGGTCTGTGTAGAATGTCTATCATGAAGTAGGACACCCTTAATATACATACACCCTAAGGTCTGTGTGTGTCTGACATGTGGTAGCACACCCTGAATATACATACACCCTAAAGTCTGTGTAGACTGTCTGACATGAGGTAGCACACCCTTATAATACATACAGCCTAAGGTCTGTGTAGAATGTCTAGCATGAAGTAGCACACCCTTAATATACATACACCCTAAGGTCTGTGTAGACTGTCTGACATGAGGTGGGACACCCTTAATATACATACACCCTAAGGTCTGTGTGTGTCTGACATATGGTAGCACACCCTTAATATACATACATCCTAAGGTCTGTGTAGACTGTCGGGCATGAGGTAGCACACCCTTAATATACATACACCCTAAGGTCTGTGTAGACTGTCTGGAATGAGGTAGCACACCCTTAATATACATACACCCTAAGGTCTGTGTGTGTCTGGCATGAGGTAGCACACCCTTAATATACATACACCCTGAGGTCTGTGTAGAATGTATGGCATGAGGTAGCACACCCTTAATATACATACACCCTGAGGTCTGTGTAGAATGTCTGGCATGAGGTAGCATACCCTTAATATACATACACCCTGAGGTCTGTGTGTGTCTGACATGAGGTAGCACACCCTTAATATACATACACCCTGAGGTCTGTGTAGAATGTCTGGCATGAGGTAGCACACCCTTAATATACATACACCCTAAGGTCTGTGTAGAATGTCTGACATGAGGTAGCACACCCTTAATATACATACACCCTAAGGTCTGTGTAGACTGTCTGACATGAGGTAGCACACCCTTAATATACATACACCCTGAGGTCTGTATAGACTGTCGGGCATGAGGTAGCACACCCTTAATATACATACAACCTGAGGTCTGTGTGTGCCTGGCATGAGGTAGCACACCCCTTATATACATACACCCTAAGGTCTGTGTAGACTGTCTGACATGAGGAAGCACACCCTTAATATACATACACCCTAAGGTCTGTGTAGACTGTCTGGCATGAGGTAGCACACCCTTAATATACATACACCCTAAGGTCTGTGTAGACTGTCTGACATGAGGTAGCACACCCTTAATATACATACAGCCTAAGGTCTGTGTAGACTCTCTGGTATGAGCTAGCACACCCTTAATATAGATACACCCTAAGGTCTGTGAAGACTGTCTGACATGAGGTGGGACACCCTTAATATACATACACCCTAAGGTCTGTGTAGAATGTCTATCATAAAGTAGGACACCCTTAATATACATACACCCTAAGGTCTGTGTAGACTGTCTGACATGAGGTAGCACACCCTTAATATACATACACCCTGAGGTCTGTGTAGACTGTCTGACATGAGGTGGCACACCCTTAATATACATACACCCTGAGGTCTGTGTAGACTGTCTGACATGAGGTAGCACACCCTTAATATACATACACCCTGAGGTCTGTGTAGACTGTCGGGCATGAGGTAGCACACCCTTAATATACATACACCCTGAGGTCTGTGTGTGCCTGGCATGAGGTAGCACACCCCTTATATACATACACCCTAAGGTCTGTGTAGACTGTCTGACATGAGGAAGCACACCCTTAATATACATACACCCTAAGGTCTGTGTAGACTGTCTGGCATGAGGTAGCACACCCTTAATATACATACACCCTGAGGTCTGTGTAGACTGTCTGACATGAGGTAGCACACCCTTAATATACATACAGCCTAAGGTCTGTGTAGACTCTCTGGTATGAGCTAGCACACCCTTAATATAGATACACCCTAAGGTCTGTGAAGACTGTCTGACATGAGGTGGGACACCCTTAATATACATACACCCTAAGGTCTGTGTAGAATGTCTATCATGAAGTAGGACACCCTTAATATACATACACCCTAAGGTCTGTGTGTGTCTGACATGTGGTAGCACACCCTGAATATACATACACCCTAAAGTCTGTGTAGACTGTCTGACATGAGGTAGCACACCCTTAATATACATACACCCTAAGGTCTGTGTAGACTGTCTGGCATGAGGTAGCACTCCCTTAATATACATACACCCTGAGGTCTGTGTGTGTCTGGCATGAGGTAGCACACCCTTAATATACATACACCCTAAGGTCTGTGTAGAATGTCTGGCATGAGGTAGCATACCCTTAATATACATACACCCTAAGGTCTGTCTAGACTGTCTGACATGAGGTGGGACACCCTTAATATACATACACCCTAAGGTCTGTGTAGACTGTCTGACATGAGGTAGCACACCCTTAATATACATACACCCTGAGGTCTGTGTAGAATGTCTGGCATGAGGTAGCACACCCTTAATATACATACAGCCTAAGGTCTGTGTAGAATGTCTGACATGAGGTAGCACACCCTTAATATACATACACCCTGAGGTCTGTGTAGACTGTCTGACATGAGGTGGCACACCCTTAATATACATACACCCTGAGGTCTGTGTAGAATGTCTGACATGAGGTAGCACACCCTTAATATACATACATCCTGAGGTCTGTGTAGACTGTCTGACATGAGGTAGCACACCCTTAATATACATACACCCTAAGGTCTGTGTAGAATGTCTGGCATGAGGTAGCACACCCTTAATATACATACACCCTAAGGTCTGTGTAGAATGTCTGTCATGAGGTAGCACACCCTTAATATACATACACCCTGAGGTCTGTGTAGACTGTCTGACATGAGGTAGCACACCCTTAATATACATACACCCTGAGGTCTGTGTAGAATGTCTGACATGAGGTAGCACACCCTTAATATACATACACCCTAAGGTCTGTGTAGAATGTCTGACATGAGGTAGCACACCCGAATATACATACACCCTGAGGTCTGTGTAGACTGTCTGACATGAGGTGGCACACCCTTAATATACATACACCCTAAGGTCTGTGTAGACTGTCTGACATGAGGAAGCACACCCTTAATATACATACACCCTAAGGTCTGTGTAGACTGTCTAGCATGAGGTAGCACACCCTTAATATACATACACCCTAAGGTCTGTGTAGACTGTCTGACATGAGGTAGCACACCCTTAATATACATACAGCCTAAGGTCTCCGTAGACTCTCTGGTATGAGCTAGCACACCCTTAATATAGATACACCCTAAGGTCTGTGAAGACTGTCTGACATGAGGTGGGACACCCTGAATATACATACACCCTAAGGTCTGTGTAGAATGTCTATCATGAAGTAGGACACCCTTAATATACATACACCCTAAGGTCTGTGTAGACTGTCTGACATGTGGTAGCACACCCTGAATATACATACACCCTAAAGTCTGTGTAGACTGTCTGACATGAGGTAGCACACCCTTATAATACATACAGCCTAAGGTCTGTGTAGAATGTCTAGCATGAAGTAGCACACCCTTAATATACATACACCCTAAGGTCTGTGTAGACTGTCTGACATGAGGTGGGACACCCTTAATATACATACACCCTAAGGTCTGTGTGTGTCTGACATGTGGTAGCACACCCTTAATATACATACATCCTAAGGTCTGTGTAGACTGTCTGACATGAGGTAGCACACCCTTAATATACATACACCCTAAGGTCTGTGTAGACTGTCTGGAATGAGGTAGCACACCCTTAATATACATACACCCTAAGGTCTGTGTGTGTCTGGCATGAGGTAGCACACCCTTAATATACATACACCCTGAGGTCTGTGTGTGCCTGGCATGAGGTAGAAGCACCCTTAATATACATACACCCTGAGGTCTGTATGTGCCTGGCATGAGGTAGAAGCACCCTTAGACGTATGTGTAAAAATACACCAAGATTTGATATATCTGGAAAATGTAGTTCAAGGAGTACTAGTTCCATTCTAAAGTCTACACACATAATGTTATCGACATTATCGACAGTATCGACTCCTCTGTACTTTGATATTGACATGGAACAAACATGTCGGTGCTGCCACGCAGATACTCAGGTTGAGCTTTTAGCCATATTCCTGCAATATCACGGCGGGGGACACCAGAAATGGGCTTCATACATCGTACCCATGTCAGGAATCGAACCTGGGTCTTCGGTGTGACGAGCAAACACTTAACCAGTAGGTTACCTGTCCGCCCCTACTTCGGTTGAGGTAAAGCATGACTATTGAAGCAGGAACGTGTGTTGGACATACCGGTGTAGGTTGGAGCGGCTTTGTTGGTTGGGCTGACTGTGTTGGTTGGGGCAGGTGTGCTTGGATGTGGAGCTCCATTGCAAGACACGGTTGTGGCTGATGTGCCTACAACATATACAAAAGTACATTCGACATTCATAACATAATATATGATCCTCATGTTATTCATTGCTTCATAAGTTGTTAAAATGATAAAGCTACAAAACCCTTTCCATATCCAATAGAAATCGAGGTTGCAGGGTCGATTGTACGATTCCGATTATGTCATGGGCATGTGTTTATGAATCACTATCAAATAGTGATGATACCAGGTGTTCGCGAAAGGGGGAGTGTATCCGGCCCTATCGGTGTCACAAACACATGCAAAGGCAAGTCAATGGTTCATCTGAAAAAAAACAACCACAGTAGCATATGGTACAAGTCAAAATAGGGAATTGCATCGGACATCACTCTTGTCACTGATGCGAAAGTTTGGAAATGTCCTCCACATGTCTCCTATAAAGCTCCCATAAAAGCTTTACTTTATTGAATGTTGTAACGTTGATCAAACAACCTCTGAGCAAGAGTCGTTTTTTGAAATCTTGGCAAATAAGGCAAATCAGTCACATGCACGACTGGCTTCACTACATGAGGCTACACAATTACTTACAACTACTTTCCTTCCCACTAACTGTGAATCATGTTCACTTCCACAGCATATCGGGATATTTAATTCCCCAAATAAAAGGACTGCTTTAAGATTTTTTGGGAATTTGTTCCCCTGCATTTTTCTAATGTCTAATACAAAAAGATCATTGACATCCGAGAATATTCTTTTGATACATGTCATGAATTGGTCAAAGGTCAAGGTCATGAGAAAGAAACAATTAACATATAAGGTTTATGGTTACACTTTCTCAAAAAGTAACAAATACATTTATTATCAAACTTGGATACACCTTCCCAATGTAGCCCTGATTGGAAACGCGTTGGTCAAAATAAGTCAAAGGTCAGAGTACAGCTTTTTGTCACATCATTGTCAGATTCTGATGTTATCTCTATAGCCATGTTTCTCCATATTTCAGGGCTAGACAGAGTGCCATTGTTCCCGCGGCACACATAAATAGGAAACGGCACACTTGAATTGAATGTATAATGCTTACTGGGCACAGTCATTTTCATAAAAGGTACTTAATTAATATTTTTCATGTTTTGACAAAATTAAACCCCAATTCCTCCATCGTTTCAGGCGTTTGATTATACGTAAAATTACATTTGAATGTAAACACATCTTTCCTTATTTTGATGGAATATCATGAATATTATGTAGGCCTTTCATTTCAAACGAAGTGCTTATTCGTTGGAATTGTTGTGAAAAACCTTAGAGAGGATCGCTTTTTGTCAAAATGGAACAGTCTAAAAAGAAATAAAGTTTCGGCAGCAAATACCACCGAGTGCGAGTGCTCACATTGAACCAAAAAACTTCCATAGAAGCGAAAATATTTAATGCAGTCACGATTGACATGGTTGTAAATAAGTGCGTGTTTCATGAAAGATATTTTGTTAGTATGTTAATCATTATACAACTCCTGTGAAAATCTCTGTGTACTATGCAAAATATCAATATTTATGGCATTACAATTTTGATCTATACTGTACGTTCAGATAAAAACTATAGAGCCTGGAATGAATCAGTGATCATGTGGACAGTGGTCATGATTGAGGGGTGAAATAACAGACACCCATAACTGCTCTTAATGAATGTTATTGTGCGTCCATTGGGACGCAGTAGTATGTTTTTCTGCATCCATTCTTTATATTTGTGCGTAATAGACCCACGATTGTGCGCCTCGTAAAACCCTGCATCAGTCATTGCATTGTCAGTTACTGTTGCACTCTTATAATCCTGAAATTTGGTTTTTGTTGGATCTAAAGAATTTTGTTAAGAGGTTTGGAAGCAGAGGGAGTAAGTGAGTGAGTATGGTTTTACGCCGCTTATAGCAATATTCCAGCAATATCGAAGCGGGACACAAGAAACAGATTTCACACATTTTACTGATGTGGTGAATCGAACCCGGGCCTTCGGTGTGACAAGCGAATGCTTTAACCGCTAGGCTACCCCACCGCCCCATCTGGAAGTCCATGGTCGATATGTTAAGGCCTTGTAGCTTTGAGCAAATGTCAGTGAAGGGACTGCACTGTTTTCACAAGTATTTGCAGACACCTCTGGCTCTAATACTTACTTTACTGCCCGAACACGCCAAGTTTTGCGAGACTACCGCAGCGCTCTCGGACGATCATGGTGAAGAGGAAGGTAGTAGGACACCCAATGACATTGACGTAAAAACATAACCATGAACTTGAATTATTCATCATGCATAATTCATTTCTAAGTAACTAAAATATCTTAAAGCTCCTTCTTTGGAAACCTCCCTCTGCTTTTCGATAATAGAAGTATTAACGGAAGAACTTGGTGCAGAAATGTCTACATTCAGTAACATGTGCTGCCTTCTGTGACACAACCCTCTTACCCTTCACTCTCATCCACAAGTGGTTGCCGTCATGGCTCTCATTCCCTCCGGCATTGTACACCAACTGCACCTGCTTCACATCCTCCAATTCCCGATCAGAAAATGGTCGTACACCAGAAAATCTGTGTCCCACAACAGTGTTAACATCTCCAGCTGAGGGATAGACGTTGGAACCTGCAGTCATGGTATATTTGTCAGTGTCGTTGGCGCGGGGCAGGATCAGGGCATCAATGATCAGCATGCTCAATCCCGCTCCCCGGATCTCACAGGTGCAGGTCTTGTTTGGGTAGTCTGCGGTATAGTTCCCTGGGTAGTTTGGAGACTTCAGATACAAGTAACTGTCCACCCCGGATGCAACTCCGCCCACACTGCAGATGTCAAGTGGTTTCTCTGGAAAGCAACACACACTGAGTGAGTGAGTGAGTGGATTAAGGCTGGGAAGCGTAACTCGGGTACTCGGGTCAGGTCCTAAGTAGGACCCGGGCCCCACAGGCCATCCCAGCTGTCCCGTCTCCAGCACATTACACAACTCATTATGAAGATGCCATTTAGTGGTTCTTTGAAAATCTAAGAAAACATTTTGTGAATGACCTCAATATTTTGTTGTGTATAATGTTAAAAATAGGGTTTGCCCATATCCTAGGTCATGCTTCCGTACGATATATATAGATTTCTAGCCGAGTGAGATATTACATATTTTTAGTCCTAATATACTCACACGCAAAAGAAACGAAGTGGTTTTAAGCAAATAGGTAACAAACACGGAACCATAAATTGATACGGGTTTTAGCATGTAGTGAAGCCTGATGGTGTTATCAATATTTTTGGTTGCATTTTGGAAGCCCCGAGTAAAAACGCAACATAAAAAACGAATCGCCCAAACACACCATTTCAATGAATATGTGGGTATTATGAACCCATTTCTCGCGATATCGAAAATGCACGAACTGTCACGAGCCGTAGTGGGTATAAAACTGTGGCCGATTCTTGGACCTACCACTCCTTGGTCAACAATGCCACGCCTAAATCAAATTCAGAGAAACCAGGTTATCGGACCTTTGGAAGCTGGAGAGCCTGTCCAAGATGTTGCCCGTCATTTCAACATTAACATAACCACAATTTACCGTCTCCTGCATCGATACAATGCTAGACAGACCACAGATGACCTTCCTCGGAGCGGTCGTTCTAGGGTCACCACACCTCGACAAGATCGGCAGATTACCAATCAACACCAGCGACATCCGTTCCGCTCGACAGACCATAGGAACACATAATCGACACATTGGTCGGGACACTGTGATCCGACGTCTCCGTTCCAACAACCTCAGATGTCGCCGACCAGCACGTCGTGCTGTTCTCCAACCACGGCATCGACAAGCACGACTTCAGTGGACACAGGGTCATCACAATTGGCGTCATCGTGAGTGGAGGCGTGTCATCTTCTCTGATGAAAGTCGCTTTTGTGTCTCTCATGCAGACGGAAGAGTCAGAATTTGGCGGCGTCGAGGTGATCGTTTCGCTGACAGAAACGTTGTGGAAAGGGATCCATGGGGTGGACCTAGCGTCATGATATGGTCAGGGATTGGACCAAATTCGAGACTTGGACCCATATGCTTTCTGAATGTTGGTCAAGGTCGGGGACACGGCGTCATTGCTTAGCGGTATATCGACCAAGTGATCAGACCCCACGCTGTTCCATTTTTTGCACAACATCAACAACACATGTTCCATTAGGACAACGCTCGTCCCCGTGTTGCCAGAGCTACCATGGCCTTTCTCACTGCAAACTCGAAAACGTCGTTTTTTCCCGTATATGGTCATTGGACGGAAAAACGACGTTATTTGGACGTTTTCAAACCATCGTTTTTCCGTCCAAATAACGTCGTTATTTGACATCGGAATTTTTTGGGAGAGAACGATAGCGTTAAGCTCCTCCCTTTCTTGATTGACATTGTCAATCAAGCAACAGCCTCTACCGGTATTTCTACTTCTCAGTTTTCATTGGTCAGTCCCCGCGTGTTAGATTACAGGCCCGCGTTTGACGCTGCACTCGAAGCGCTTAGCGGAAGTACTGAAATCAATCGTTCTGCGCATGCGGATTACTTAATGCCTTGACCAAATTTTCCGTTCTGTGCATGCGCGATTTCGCGTATTGTTTCCTAGATTTAATGTCACCACTATTTGACAATGATTCATAAACACAGTCACGTGAAGGTTCGGAATCGTAATGAGTAACTCCATTTAAATTGAAGAGTATCCCCAGTGATATGGGAGATTCCAAGATGAAACTATTCTATGGCTATCTAGGCTGCCACCGAAACCGATCTAAACGGGATCCGATAGCTTATTGTATGCTATATAGTCATATGGAAGTGGACAAGAACTATACATTGTATTCCGGCCGATTGTTCTTGCATTTACTTATAAGTCAGGAAAATGGACTTAAAAGGGGAGTTGTTGAATGTAATTATTTTAATTATTAAATGTTGCCTATACACTAATCTGGTCGAACTTCTCATTGTTCTGTTTATGTCATCCTATATACTATTAGTATGTTACCGTTCTAAAGTCATCCTCTCACATAACATAATATTGTTCATAGTATCAAAGTTTAATCAACAATATCAAGAGCAGCGATTTAAACCACTGAAACACCCAAACACAAGGCTGTTATCAAGCGCTAGTGCAGACGTGATGTATCGTAAAAAAACTGTATCTTGATGTCTTCAGAAATACAATTATACTACGAGATAGTACGGCTAACGCTGACTCACCGGTGGAACAAAGACAATAACGCTAATACAGATATAACGTATTTTAATGTTAATACTAAAGACAAACAATCATTATTTTTGCAGTGACGATATAACACGTATACACGTTTATTGTTAGCTTTCATCACTTTTGCTCTTCATTTTAATAACTTTGTTTTCACATATATATGTAGCAATACCCGACAAGCATGTTATACATAATTATGGGGCAGTTTTCGTTCTTGTACTGACTTACTCTGGTGTTAATGAGCGATGTTTATTGGCTTGTGTGTAAAACCCCGTTTTTCTGGTAATCCTATTATTACTTAGTTTATGTCTATCTAATGACACCCTGCACTCTGGATCATGGCTCCGTGACTATCCATAACAATTAAGATGAACATTCAGTTCAAGTAAATGAATGAGTTTGTTTTGACGCTACAGTCAGTCAAAAAAACCAATGCTGTGAGGTTTGATAACAAACTTCTACCAGGTCGAGCATCGTGGATCCTCATTTTCTGCCTAAAGAGAATCATAGTTCATATGCTAATCCATCGGTGAATACCCTCCCACTCAAGATGACCTTACTTGTTGCTAAATCTATCATCTATCCCCCCAATCTCACCCCCACGCCCCCCCCCCCCCCCCCCCACACACACACGCACGCACGCACGCAAACACACACGCGCACACGCACACACACGCACACACACACACACACACAAACACACACACACACACACACACACACACACACACACACACACACACACACACACACACACACACGCACGCACGCACGCACGCACGCACGCACGCACGCACACACACACACACACGCATTAATTGTTTTATTAAAAGTATCTTCGAGAGTCTGTAAGAAACTAGAAGTAACTGCCTTTGTTCTGTAAACCTCACCAAGTTTCAGCTTTCGCCTCTTCCTTTGTGGACTGAGGTTTCACATTTGTAAAATGATCTCTCTTATCTGTCTGTACCATCAACTTAACTGCCCTCACCCCCTGCAGTTTTCCTGTCCCATATTGCCAAGCAGGTGACCCACAAGGAGGAATACCGCCCTCCCTCAGTCCAGTGATACTGTTCCTAGCACAATATTTTGGGGATACGTAGCCTTGCTGTGGGCAAACATTTTGTAACAATTTGGCAAACTTTGATATTAAACAGCAAATATTATTCAGTTTTATTTCAACAAAAACGGAAAAAATCGGATCCTACTTATTTTGTGGATACCATAACAATAAATCAAGCCAATAGATCGTTTGAGCTGGCATGAATATAAAAAATAATTAGCAAGTCGATAGTCATAATTCCCTCTGTTGGTCCCACGTGAAATGTTCTTCACGAATAGAATAGACGTTCGACCGAATAATATCAAATGCTAACTTCAACTGTTCATCTAATTTCCATGAATGTAGGTTACATAGTTCATATGTTCATGGGCTTCTTCACTGAATGTATAATGTGGAGGACTACTTCACTTGAGGATAAGTAACATAAATAATGATGATAATTATGATAGTATTGCCATTATTATTCCTTCAGATTATTAAAAAAAAAAGTTATTATGTTTTCATAGAGAGAAAGAGGTATGGAGATTGTGAGACTATTTTTAGCATCGGAATTGTTAACATAATTCTTAAAGATATTATGTTTTGTTTGTTTGTTGTTAAATGCTGCACTCAGCAACGTAAGGATATTAAAACATTACATTTAGGTTCAGTTGTATTTTTATATTTGTATCATTTTGCAAATGTTACAGAGACCTGATAAGGGATATATAATAATGTATAGTCGCTATTCTTAAAGTAAGAATATGTTAGATTTATCAACCAGAAATATTGCACACAAGAGGATAATCATATTTCATGACACTATTCAACGTCGAAGTCAACGATATTTGTGTGTGTTATTGCTACATGACACGGATACGTCATGATAAAGCAATTAGAAATTGGCATTTGATGATATAAGATAGCTACGCGATAAATAACAAAGAACAAAGAAGGAAGCGATATTTATTTCACGATAAAAATTGTTCTATCATGACGTCATTTATTGAGATTCGAACATGCACTCGCAACTTGAAGAGTAAAATTTGTAAATTTGACCTTATTTTTGAGAGGTATGTGTCTAGTGAGTTGTTCCCAATAAATGTTGCTGGAGAATCCGAAAGTGAGAGTGATATGACAATCGGTATTGGGAGAAAAGGTACTAACAGATGATTGACGAGAAAATTGTGAGAATATGCGGGACCAAACTCAAATCCTAAAATGGATTTATCTAGCATGGCTGCTGTCGGATTCTATTCAAGGAATCATCATTATTTAAGTACGTGTAAATAATGTAAAGCGTGTATTTTTTCCTAATTTAACACCCTAAAAGAGGCTGTACGTAATGTTGATATCTAATATAGAAATAAACGAGTCTCGGTCGTTGTTTATCGTACAATAAACAACTCCCACTCGTCGTTTGTTTCTTAACTACATATACACTAACATTATATCTTTTCATGTTTATCGGTCAACAAAAGCGACATAAGCATTTCCATTATCATGAGAAACCCTTGCCAAAAGTAGCGCCAACTGCACCATTGCGACAACATCAGGAGCATGTTTCATG